CCCCCCCCCCCCCCCCCCAATAAAACACCGATCTCCACATCATGTCCATGTTCTTTCCCTGTATTTTCCATAATTGGGATACTATCCCATGTAGAAGTTCGCACGACAGAAAACAGCATCAACATCTGCAAGCTAAACTTGATAGTCATCCTCGAGTGCATAGATCTCTGGGACTATGATGATCATCTTCAACTCTGTGGAATGCTTTGATGCCACCTACTTCAGGATGAAAATTCCCCTAAACCTAAAGCCTAGACTCCAAACCCTAAACCCCTAAACCCTAAACCCTAGACCCCAAACCCTAAACCCTTGTAAGCCTGGGCCGCTGGCAGTCCGTGTCACATGCACCTGCACAAGCCGCCGTTGGCAGGGACACCTCCGAACCGGAAGACGTCCCCTGCAGATCAGCAGACTGGGTTGTCGGTAAGGAACTTATACGCAAGCTACCATTAAATGGGTATACTAAATGGGTATATAACAAGTAAGTATAACATGGGTCTAGAGTAAATGATGGGCTTACCTTATTTTAGTGACCAAAATCCTAAGCCCTATATACCCATATTACAACAAGTTAATTTAAGTTCCTTAAAAAGCAACCCAGCAGAAGCAGGTGAAAAACAACCCGCCGAGCCGGCCGGTTGCCATAGAGGCGAACTTCGAGCTTCTCAAAATAGGGGGCATTCGGCCTAGGGTACCCTAAGCCCTATAAGCCCTAAACCCTAAACCCTAAACCCTGAACCCTAAACCCTAAACCTTAGGGTCACTGATTAAGGGTCCTTTGGAATGGGGACTGAGGATCCTCGGGTTCTAAGGGGGTTCATTGGACTATCGGGGGGATTAAGGATTCTTGGGATGTGCGGGGATTAAGGATCCTTGGGATACGGGGAGATACCATGAGGTTCTGTTGTAGGCTTGCGTACAGAATGTTTCGAGAAAAGCGGCCGCCTGTCTCTTGCGAAATGGACATGGGTACGGGCAAAATTGAAGTGGTACGGGTACTGCTCTCAGAGCTGAACAAACTCAGTTGCAAAGCCTGACATCATGAATTTGACCCGACCCACTTGGCTTAGAAGCACTGCTAACCTGGTCTAAGACCATGCTGTTCCTAGACATCGCAGTGAACAGCCCATGGACTGGGCATGTCTGCGTGGTGGGGTTATTCTACTTGCGCGATTGCATCTGCAGCTTGTAGTAGACGCCCTTCAGCGCCATCAGCTCATCATGCGTGCCAGACTCCACAACGCGTCCATCCGCGTTCACCAGAATGACCTGAGTGGTGATGTCTATCCCATCCCTAAGGGTCCAAGTACCCAAACATTGGATCATTGGGGTTTCAGGTGCCCTGAAGCCTTGTTATTTGGGTACTTGGACCCGTAGGGAATGACATCATCTCCTGTGGTATTTCCATGGATGTGTATACCCTTTAAGCGAAGCGACCATAGCTTAAACCCCTTATACACACAAGTCTGACTGCAATCTGGAATACGTTTGCACGAGACGAAACCTTTTTCTTCAGACATGCCGTGCCGGTATGGACTAACTATCATCCCGCAACTTGGTTGCTCTTACGTGACTGAACTGGAGCTACCATACTCAGCTGGCAACATCAGTACCGCCGCCGCCCCAGCACCGCTGCCCTCCAACCACCAGGACCGCCGCCGCCGCCGCCGCCGCCACAACCACTGCAACACCAGTTCCACAACCACTGCCACCACAACTGCTGCGACTGCTCCTACTACTACACTGACGGAAGACTATGAGCACTCAGCTGAGAAGCATCACAGTTGGAGATGGTGGAGAGTCTATGAGCGATGGCGAAAGATGTGCGACCGTCCCGCGCAGCCTCTCACAAGCCCAGATTTGGGCTTACAAAATCAGGTACGTTAAGATCCATCATCCTTAAATTTGTGATGGCGCGGTAGAGGGTCCTGAATGAGGAACTCTGTATTAGGGTTCTCCAGGAGGATCTGGGAGGAGATTCACTGGCCTCTCACTTAAGAGCCCGAATTGGAATTCAACTTGAAGTCACTTTGACCAGTACTGGAGTTGCGGCGCTTGCAGGCAAATTTTGTTCAGGGTGGAGAGGTCTGCTGTCATCATGGCCCTCATAAGAAAGACCCAAGCCCTTGGTGTAGCCCAGTGACTTTGAGGGAATGGGGGATGGGCTTCGATGTTATTTTTGGAATTAGATGGGAGTCTCCGGCAATTAGTGGAGCCATTTGGGCCTGCCCCGCTAAAAAAACTTGCTGTATGTGAAGGGGATCCTGATCTGGCAGCTGCTAATCAGTATCATATAGGGGCTGCAATAGGGATCCATTCTCGCATTCCCTATTGACTTACTGGTGCTTAAGGGAGAGTTGGAGAGTGGTGCTTAGTGTAATCCCCATATATACCCCTAGTCCCAAGTAGTCCCCATATCGAATCTTCTCGTTCTTGCTTGGTTGGCCGGATGTTGGTCAGCGATGCGCGATAACTTGAAACCCTAAACCCTAAACCCTAAATCCTAAACCCTAAATCCTAAACCCTAAACCCTAAACCCCAAATCCTAAACCCTAAATCCTAAACCCTATAACCTTAACCCTATACCCCCCAATACTGAGCCTCGACAGCCCTGAACACTCGCAAAGAAGCTAGGGGAAGAAGCTGTAGCCTGCTTACTGCCGGTTTAGAGTTTAGGGTTTAGGGTTTATAGGGTTTAGGGTTTAGGGTTTGGGGTGTAGGGTTTAGGACTTTAGGATTTAGGGTTTAGGGCTTAGGGTTCAGGGTTTAGGGGTTGGGGTTTAGGGTCTAGGGTTTCAGGCCCATTGCGAAGCGAGCTCCTGACGACCAGACGAAAACCTGATTTGCGGCTTAGGGGCCAAGCTGCAAACCCTAACCCGGAACTCATTATTTTGGGTTTAGGGTTTCGGGTGGAGGGTTTAGGACAGAATTCAGTCCACGGAACATGTCAGTAGGCTACTGGGAATGCTATAGCCAGCCAGTATGGCCGTTAAAAAATCCTGTCAGGTAAGAGTGTTTATTTTTTTGTTGTCTGGTCTTTTTTGTTGTTTGGGCTTTTCGGGTGTGATTTTTTTTGCTGTTTGGGCGGGGGCAATTTTTTTTGCTGTTTGGGCGGGGGCCCAGGCCCCGCCCAAACAGCAAAAAAAAAAAAACACGCCCCCGCCC